TTACAGTACCTGATATTCCCAAGCGGTCACCCATCTAAGTACTAACCAAGCTCGATCTTGCTTAACGTCGGTCATCATACAGCGGCCCGTGGTTTACCGTGGTGTGGTCGTAAGCCTTTAAAAATATATATGTTGTGCATCCTGTAAATTTGTTGAGAAAATCTATTACAATGAACACTTTTCTTTCAAATATGAAGATTCTAAAGTTCTATGTGTGATACTGGGTCATCTGTCTGGAAATTAAAGATACCCAGCCTGTCCTAATAAGTGGAATAAGTTTGAGTCAAGAATTTAAATTGAGTTCAAGAACAATTGCCAAAATAGAAACAATTTATTATAAACCAGAAAATCTTCTGTTGTCAACGCAACGTATTAAGCTGCGAATAATGAAGCAATTAAAAGATAAACAAAAACTGATTTATGTACTTGTGCCAAAGGTTTGTTCGTTTGTCTCGAACTAGATTGAAAACCCGCGTATAAACCTGTTTCTGGCACAGAATTTTATGTCACATACGAGCGTCTTAGTTAATAACAAATCGAAATTTCGAATGCTTTGTGAGAAATATGTTCATGATGTTTAAGGGTATCGTTTGCAACATGTGTTTCATGATGATGACGACGAGGAAATACGCAGAACTAATAGCCTAACTACAACTCATATGCAGATCAATTGCTGAAAGCAGGATTGACTTCGATCAGCTCCACGGTGTCGCTCAGTCAGTGCTTTTTCGCGTTCGCGCTGTGCCGATGGATTCAGGAAAATATGCTTCTATTTTGATCATTAACAAGGCCCTGCTATCAACTCGGGTAGTTGTTTTGAAACTTGGAGTAAGGATGATTTCGGGTAACAGCTGTCACCTGAACTGCTTCTTAACAGTTTTGATCTTTATGGTTCAACCTACACACACAAACATATATATATATTGTCTATTATATATATATATATATATAATTTGTTCACTTTTATATTTACACACGCTCTATCTCTGATATTGAGCACTTTATTCCATAAATATAGCACACCTTAAGACTATATCTATATAGATATATATCTTTATATATATTATCTATATATATTATCTATCTATCTATCTATCTATCTATCTATCTATATATATATATATATATATATATATATATATATATGTGTGTGTGTGTGTGTGTAAAATATATAGAAAAATATGAAAAACACGTTATGTAAATAATCCAAAGTTCTTTAACATTTTTGTTATTATTTTTAAAAAATAGTCTTCGATAAAAAAGTAGAGCATAAATATAATATAATATATATATATATATATATATATATATATATATATATATATATATATATATATATATATCTGTGTGTGTGTGTGTGTGTAAAATCTTAGATTGCAAATGAACTTCCGACAATAAAGTCCTTCACGAGCCATAGAGTCATGCGTACACTCAATCCAAAAAATGGAATGAATCATCTGTACAAATACTCATATTAATACATATATATATCATCCTGGGTTTTTTAGCTGAAATCTGTATTCACTCGTGCTTACGATCTTACAGAAAGTGAAAACCATTATGAGATACATTATATCATATCTCTTGCTGCTGACATAATATTAAAAATGTGATTGACTTGGTTTAGCTGAAAACATCGACCTGAGTCCCATCAACCACCGTACATTTACAAGTGGTTGATCGTGCCGGCCAGGGAAGTTGTCGAAAATTTTATATTTTGTTTAGCATTTAGGAAGTTACTATCCCGCTTGAAAAGTAACAAATAGGCAGCTATATTTTTTATTATAATTCTCTTCATTTCAAAGAATCATCAGAATATGAGGCAACTGTTCTGGGAAGCAAAGTACATTGGCTTTGGTTGGTCGGTTGGTAACGAAATAGATGAAAAAGATGGGGGTATTGAGAAACGTGGAATCACCTCTTAATAGTATTGTTCCTAAGTTCACCCAAACACGTGGTGGCAGCGCCTGTTAGGGTTCTAACTATCCAGCAAATAGTAAACCCTACCTCCAAAAAACTATTTTTACACAAGTTTAGGTGTCAACTATTTGCCCATAGCTCTGTCTCTAACAGGTGCTACGACTCCGGGTCAGGGTGAACCTTGGAACACCAGCAATTAAAAGGTGATTCCACGATCCTCAAAACCTCCTGATCAGAGGCCTTGCTGTTGGGCGTAGTTTATTGTCTTACCCAGGACGCGGATGTAGTTTATCGTCATATCCAGGATGCAGATGTAGTTTATCGTCATACCCAGGATGGTATATATTTATAGTAAAAATAACTAACAATACATTTTTAAAACAAAATAACCAGCAATATATTTTATCTATGTATTTAGTAGCCAACATGAAACCGTGTTCAGATTATTTAGATTTCGGCTTTAAATAAGCCATAGAGGTGGTGATATGCCTCTATAGAAAAGCAACCAAAGCAACTTATTCAAAAACAAGGAATTTATCATATCAGCAGTACTATTGATATATGTATGTCTTCCTTAGATTTTAAGCTCAAATCTGTATTCATTCATGCTTTCAATCTTAAAATTGGTGAATACCATCCTGAGATACATTATATCATACCTCTTGCTGTTGACATAATACTGAAGAAATGCTTGACTAACTTACTTGGAAACAGCAATCTTAGTCTCATCAAATACATGTACAACTGGATGATCATGCCGGCCAGGAAATGGTCGAAAATCTTGCATAGAATATTGAGTAACATGGGCAACATGTTGGCAGGTACTATCCCGCTGGAAAAGTAACAAATTGCAGCAATGTTTTTTATTATCATTCTATGCATCGGAAAGAATCATAGCAATATGAGGCAAATGTTCAGCGGAAGATTATTTATAATGGCCATGGGTGGTTTATAACAAAATAGAGGAAAAAGATTGGAGCTTTTGAGAAACATGAGATCTCCTCTTAGTTATTGTTGTTCCCAATGTCACCCAAACCCGTAGTGGTAGTACCTCTTAGGGTCCCAGCTATTGGCAAACAGAGAACCCCAACAAAAAAAAATCTTTGAAAATATAAAAATATATATTTATCGTACAAATATCCATGATATATTTTTCTATAAAAAAAGAACCACGATCCATATGTATCGTAAAATGACCAACAATATGTTTTTAAAGCAAATAACCAGCAATACATCCTGATATACATTTTATCAAAACCTTGCTGCTGATATAATACTTAAAGATGGTTGGGTGGCTTAACTTAAAAAGTCAGGCTTCGTTTCATAATTTGCCATACGTGTACAACTAGACATGTTTAGTAGTACAAGCAACATGTAGGCATGTACTATTATATTAAAAAAAAGTAACAAATAGGCTTTAATTGTAAATACGCTTGATTCTATTGAAGAAGATGAATTAAAAAGAATAAAAACGGATAATTTATTGATAAAAGAGATATATTTCGGAAAGCTTTTGCAATCCTTGATCACTCATAAGAAATAAATGAAACAGTGACTAAGCTTCATTGTATACGTTATAAATTTATTGAAACAAAGCAAGTTCAGTTGACCATTGATGACAATTCCAGAAACTATAAACAATTTTTTTTTGCTATCCTTTTTCAGCCGCAATGATGGAGAAAGCATTATCACGAACCATCGCCAGTGAGACACGCTGCAAGAGCCACTCTGTTGCACGAGACTCACCCCTTAATCGAGACGCAATCCTCCGAAAGAAACGCCATCGAACGAGGGCCAATAACTCCTGAAGTCTCCACTGCCACAGGAGTAAAAAAAAATCTATCAGCAAGAGAAGAATATTTAAGTGTTTATAAATTCAGATTAGCAAAAAAAATAAATAAAAATAAATAGATCGAATTCAGTTCGCGAATCATGTAATAGGTTCTTTCAAATTTTGTTCATTTGAAAGAATCATAGAAATATGTGGGGAATTGTCAGGAAATGGTCTGTTACAATTCCCATGTTTGCTTCGTACCAAAGTAGGAAAAAAAGATTTTGCGGCAACTGTCAACAAAGATATCTTTGGTGTAACGATTTGGTACACAAATCTGGCATAGAAAAATCAACGCAATGCAATAGGTAATATTTATAGAATCATCTAACGAATTCTAAAAGGATTCTTTCCTCAGAAAATTACCAAATAAGGATCAAGACACGCATTCAGACAGCCAAAGATGTATTCCGAAAGCTAAGTACTTGTATTATGAGACAGAAAAATCGTTAGAAACAAAGAAAAAGGTATTGAACTGTTACGTGATATTTGTCATCCTCTATGGCAGTCAATGCTGGATAATCTCTTCAAAGATGAAAAAGAGACTTGAAGCATCACAAATGTTGTTCTACAAAATGTGACTGAGTATACCATGAACGGAATATGTGAGAAATTACGCTTGATTCTCTTGGTGAAGTTGAATTTAAAAGAACAAGAACTTAATTAGTTAATTCCAACAAGAACTTAATTAGTTAATTCCAACGGGTAACTTTCTGTTTAAAACAGATATATTTCGGAAAGCTTTTACAATCCTTGATCACTCTTGAGAAATAAATGAAACAATGACTAAGCCACATTGTATATGTTATAAATTCAAATTAACAAAAAACAATCGATCGAATTGAGTTCGCTAAACATGCAACAGTTTTTTTTTCAAAACAAAGAAAAAGGTATTGAACTGTTACCTGATACTCGTCCTCCTCTATGGCAGTCAAAGCTGGATAATCTCTTCAAAGATGAAAAAGAGACTTGGAACAACACAAATGTTCTACAAAAAGAACGCTGAGGAAACCATGAACCGAATATGTAAGAAACTACGAGCTTTTACAGAAAATGGAAATCAACAGCAGGAAGAGACAGTTGAAATTTCTGGAGCACATAATAAGGAAAGACGGTATGGAAAATCTGATACTCGCAGGATAGATTAAGGGCAAAAGGGACCGAGGAAAACAGGGTATAACCTACTTGAGTAAATGGGTGGCGCAACAGAGTTTAAGAGAAAGAGCAAAAAGACAACATATATTAAGAGCTACCAGGGACAGGAAACTGTGGAGGGCCATGAATGACTACATCCTGGAGGTAAACGGCACATAAAGAAGAATATTTTAATCATTCTGCGTACTTTGAAGAAACATACCAGAA